CTTTAAAAATCACCTTGGAAAGACAAAGAGTAGGAGAGAAGAACTGGGACTCTCTCAGAAAGGGCATGTGGATGCGAGAAATTCAGAAGAGCTCTAAGCTGCACATCAAGGTTCCGCCTGGATGGCCCCAATGCCCTTATCTCCTTGGCAGTGATCTGACGGACCAGAACTGCTGCTGTCGTCAGTCAGCTCCACTCAAAGCAACCTCATTAGACAGGCAGTAGTTTACTACATAATAAAGCTAGGATTAAGTCTGCCCTTCATTGGCAAAAAAAAAAAAGGCACAATTTCAAATTCTCATGGAATCCAGACTGTTGGGATCCCTGGAGGCTGGACGAACATCCAAACTACTCTCCTGAGATCATCTTTAAATCTCAAACCAAAAACATCCCTTGGAGTCCTCTTATAAATATTAAAAATACCCTCCCAAGTCTTCATTTGGCTTAATTAGTAAAGAATGTCAGCCCTGAGCATTGTGCTCTTTTAAGAACTATCTGTATAGGATCATACTGACACCAACAGCTCTGAAGAGAAACTTAGGGGGCAGTGAGTTTGTTAATGGGGGAACTATTCCAAAAGGTAGGTAAGAATAGGTTGTAACTCAAAGAATGTCACCGAACTGCACATGTAGAAATTGTATCCTACGGTGTGTATTCCAAAAACAATAACAACAAAAGAACACTCTTGATTCAGATTGGAGTCATCTGGGGAAATTGATCATGGTTGGTATCGATGAGGTGGTAGAGAAAGGAGCGAGCTGGCAGGCGTGCAGGCTGGGCAGGCTCCCTGCAGGGCAACCTGGCACTGTGGCCAAACACAGGATGGGCCTCTCCTCACAGTCAGCAATTCCTCTTCTTGGAATTCATCCTAAACCGAAGAGAATGATCAAACCAGTGTATAAAAACATTCTCCTAAGACATTCATCATGGAGTTTACAACAACAAATTAAATTCTCCATTTCCTCAAAAGGAATCGTATCAAAGCAGGATGTTCACCTCTTTTACTCTTGTGTGCAGCTGAGGTAAGGCAGGTGAGCAGATGACAGAGTCCCAGCACAGCAGGAGGGAATTGCCGTGATGGATGAGCCAAGGAGGAGGGTCCAGGGTGTGGAGGACAGTCCATGACTGGTGAAAAATAAGTGCGACTGTTCCCTACAGAACAGGTGAGCACAATTACGCCCCTGGTGGCTTTGCTTGTTGGGTAATCACTGTCAGGTCCCCACTCCCACTCTGTCATGTCTACAGTGACCCTTGTTCATCCTGACCCCAGCTCCAGGAAGGACAAGATGACAGCAGTCAGGGCTCCCCAAACTGGCCTGATCATTGGAACCACTCGGGTGACGTTTAAAAACTGGATTCTTAAGACTCCACCTCTCAGAAATTCTGACTTCCCTGGTGAGGGTGGGACCAGTCTGAGTCATGCATGAGAGGTAATCTATATCACCCCCCGCTGGCCCTGGATCTTGCCCAGCCCCTCTGTGGAGGCCTCATGCGGTGCCCAGCAGGGAGGGCCCGGGCAGCTCAGATGGCACGAGGCCTGGCAGCTGGGAGAAACCTGAGTGGGCCCGGGCGGGGGGGGGGGGGGGGCGGGGGGGGGGATATCTGATGGCATGCCTGTTGCTGCCCTGGGCTCACTTCTGAAATATCAAGATCAGGGGAAGGCTGGGGCGAGGCCTCTCCCGGCCAGCACAGGTCATCCTGCCAGCTGCCCCTGGCTCACTAGGGCAGCAGGAGTAGGGCAAATGATAAAATGGTGTCCCTCTTTACTGCTCCTGGAGCCCTGGTCTTTTAAGGGTTAAAGCACTTGGTTGCTAACCAAAAAACTGAGCATTCAAACCCCCCAGCCCCTCAGCAGGACGGCGATGAGGCCTGCTATTTCTGTAAAGATTTACAGCCTTGAAAATCTCTAAAGTCATTCTTCTCTGTTCTACTGGGTCTCTATATAAGTTGGAATCAATTTGATGGTTGGGTTTGGGTTCCCCCCCACCCCCCGCCTCCCGGCTTCCAGTCCCTCTATACCAAATGTGCCCCGTGCCACCCACATACCTTTACTGACAAGCCTGGGTTTTATCTCTTGACCCATCTACCCACATGACAGTGGGTTCCCCGAGGGCTGGAACAGGTCTTATTCCTCTCCGCATGCCCAGCGGTGTCCGGCACACCGTTCGTACTTGCTAAATACTGCATGGGTAAAGGAGAGGTAGCAGAACCTACCGTGTTACCACAGGGTCAAAGAAGGCCTGATACACCCCACCAGGCACACTGGCAAATGCACGTGCTTACCTGTTAGGACGCCATTCATCCATATCATCTTACTAGAGGCTGAGCTTAACAAGCCATAACCTGCCACATTAATTTGGGCACCATGGCGCTTTCCAACCGGAAGTTACAGAAACTCTTCCCAGGACAATGTACCTTGTGCGCGCGCGCGCGCACACACACACACACACACACACACACACACACACACACACACACACACTTTGCACACATTGCATCATTTCCAGGTGGAGTATCAGCCCCTGCAACTTGAGCCTTTAAAACACCATGCTGACCACCAGATACTCTACTGGAGAAGGAGGGACAATCTCCTCCTGTACCAGTCAGATCCGATTTGACGGTACACGGAAAAAAAAAACACAAAAACCCACAAAAAAAACCAAACCCAAAACACCATGCTGAGTGGAATAAGCCAGGCATGAAAGGACAAGTATTGTCTGATCCCACTTACACAAAATACCAAGAATGAGTATGTGTCTAGGACTGTTTAATGGCTGTATCTTTCTTTCAAATAGTTCATCAGAAAATATAGATACTAGGGAACTCTGGTGGCCTAGTGGTAAGTAGTTGCATGGCAATCCCAAAGGTATGTGGTTCGAGACCACCACCAGCTGCTCCATGGGAGATGGATGGACAATCTTCTCCCGCGTGATTAGCTGCCTCTGAAAACCTGCCGGAAGGTCAGTTATGGGTCTGTTCCGACTCGATGGTACACAACAACAACAACAACAACAACATGTGCCTGCAAGAATTCATTAGTAATGAAATCAAATGATGTATGCAGCAAGTCTGCACAAGACCTCTCTAAAGGGTCAAAAAGCAAAGATGTTCTTGAAGGCCAACGTGCACCTGATCCAAGCCAGGATCTTTTAAATTGTTTCACATGCATGTGAAAGGCTGACACTGAATAAGGGACACTGAATGCACTGGAGTTATGGGGTTGGTGAGGAATACTGAATATACCATGGACCGCCAGAAGAACAAACCAATCCGACTTGGAAGAATTGTGTCACAATGCTCCTTAGAAGCAAACATGTCAAGATGTGGTCTCAGGTACTTTGGATGTGTTATCAGGAGAAAGGACATCATGCTTGGTAGACAATTAGAGGGGGACAAAGGAAGACTCTCAATGAGATGGGTTTATGCACTGGCGGCAACTATGTCTTCAGATACAGCCACTGTTACAAGGATGGTTCAGTGACTTGACAGCATCTAATAACAATATAAATGTAGCCAAACATTAACAACTGGTGAAGCTACAGGATGACCAGAGAGCTCTAATGCCCTAGTGGATAGAGGGTTGCACTGCCAACCCAAAGGCAGGCAGTTTGAATCCACCACCTGCTTCTCAGGAGAAAGATGGGCATTCTCCTCCCATATAATTTACAACTTCTGACCACCTGAAATTTACACCCGTGGAGGGTCAACTACAACTTAGTCCCAACTGGACAGCAACGAGTAAGTGACAGGAGATGACTACAAAGTCTGGAAACACAGACAATACTTACTTTCTTTACAGACTGAAGATGACACTATGAGTATCTGCCCATTTCTGGACTTCACAGACACTCTGTAAATGAAGGATATACACTGACTTATTTCAACTTTTCTATAGGTTAAACATTTTTGGAAATAAAATACAGGAGGTGGGGTGGATCTGAGCCCTAGACTAATTCGCTAGCCCCTATTTCAGGACCCCATACACCAAGGAGCCCAGACAAAAGACAGACTACAGGCTTAGCAGGTTCTAAATGGATTTATTTGGCTATTTAAATAAAACCTTGTTACCATTTCTGCAGTTAAAGGGACAGAGGATGATTACAAAGGGCAAATGCTCCGGGTCACCTTGAATTCCTCTCTGCCTGCCCTTTTTACTAGTTGGCTCCACCCACCTTCACTCTCAGTGGAGGTGGTGGAGGGAGGCAGGGGGATGGGGACAGGAAGCATCCAGAGAGAAGGGGTGAGCCTCGCTGTTGCTTCCCACTGTTGTCAGACACATCAGGCTGCTGTGCTGGACACAGACATGGTGCCCCTAGCAGACCCTTCCTGCTCTCTTGTACTGCTGGACCTGGATGCCAGAGAACTCCACACCCCAGGATCTCTTGGCAGCAAGCATCTGTCTGAGTCTGTCGATGAGACAAGGGAGAAGTCTCTGGCAGTGGCAGGGACTCGTGGCCTTTGGCAGACAGAGAGCATGAGGCTGTCCAGCATCTCCTGAGCATTTTCTTGTAAAGCATCTGCTTGCAATGATTTACATCCGCTGGCAGCTGAGAGTCTGCAACGTTGTGCTGACGGCTGATGACGGCTTTCTCTTTCATGTCCCTTGTTCTTCCATTATTCTTGTAAAGAATTCACTCCTGTATTAAATCCCTTCTTGTTTAAAATACCTACAGGGGATTTGCTTTTCCAAATTCATGAAGCTACCTCAGGACTTCATTCCCTATAGAAAGATTTCCAAACATCGCCATTTTTCAGAACCCAAAAGGTAAAGAGAAGTTACTACGGGAATTGAACCCTTGACCCACAGGGTGGGATTCCATTTTCTGACCAAAAATGCACCCCCTCGCCTGCCTCACTGAAGCCATCCCCCTGGGGACATCAGGACCAGACAGTGATCACGCAGGACAGAGGTGGCACTTGCTGGCGGTGGTAAAGATGCGTGTGGTGCTGCCCAGCCCGCAATGTCCTCCTGGCACTGCACTGGGGTGCAGGACCAGGGAGTCATCCCCCTGGCACAGAGGAGGGAGTTCTCTGCTGCCAGGCTTCTTGGAGTTGAGGCAAGAGGGTCACCAACAGAGAGTCCAGCACAGCCAGACCCTCCCAGGAGCACCGAAGACCCCTAGAAATCCAAGAGGCCTGAATGTAACCACCTCATCATTTCGATCCCCACCTTTCACCAGTGTCAAGACCCCAACATCCAGTCCTTTCTCAGCTCCCCGAGGCCCCTCCTTTCCCTCCCAAGCTACCCCACACACCTCTGATCCAGCAGCAGTAAGCCCTGCTCCAACAGCTCCTTCACCTCCTTGCTTGTCCCGATCACGTCCCACAGGGTCAGCTCAGGCTCAAACTGCTGCCAGTGCTGGGAGACCAGAAGGGGCAGGAGAGCAGGGACCTGAAGTCAGTCAGGCCATTCTGAGCAACTTGTCTGGGGGTGTGGTGGGAATTCAGGCAGAGTCCAGTGCAGCTTGGGGGTACAGCAGCTGACTCTCATGCCCTGTTCCACCAGGCCCAGGTCAGCAGAGAAGGGGCAATGTTACCCTCATTGCATTTCTAGGCCAAGGCTACATCTCCTCTGTTCTTCGTGCTTCCCCTGTACCTGTCAGGGTTTGGCCTGCTCCAGCTCACAGGTGCTGCCCGGCTTCATCTGGAATAGCTAATTTATCTGCCTTTATCTACTGCACTTCCTATCTGAGGTTTCAGTGCTGCTTCAAACAAAACACTTGAAAACCTATTAGCTCATCTTTTTTTTTCTCATCCAGATGAAAACTATGAGGTGAGACGACCTGAGCCCAAGGGTGCAGGACAATAAGGACTAGGTCACTGCACCTCTGGTCTAGGGTTCTCACTACTGTACCACACAGCCCGGTATATCTGCCCATCATACCTCAGCTGGACCGAGGCTCCAGCTCCAGCTGCGAAACCCAGAAGTGGGAAGGTAGTGGGGGTGAAATAAAGAGTGATTCTGCAAGGCTCTGGAGGGTGTGTTGTGCCAGAGTCCTGGTCCTCTCACCTGGTGAGTGATCCCCACATCTGTGCGTAGCCCCATGGCCAAAACTTCCTCCAGCCTGAGAGAAATGAAGGGGTCTTAGCGAGGACCTCTGTGTCCCCAACCACCCTGGCACTGGGACATGTAACGAGGAGCTTCTAGGGCGCATGGAGTGTGGGATGGTGGGAGGGCATGCTGGGAAACAAAGAGAGATGGACAAATGGGGTGGCCCGGGGACTGTGGGAGCCCCTGTCAAATGCTCACAGCTCCAGCTGGCCCAGCGGAACCCGCTTCCGGGTGCCATGACCAAACAGCTTCACCTCCTTCATCCAGTTGTCTGGCTCTAGGGTCTGGATCCGAGCCTCCCGGGTGTGGCCCCCGGCCTCCTGGGGCAGAAATCGCCCATGGGCCCCTGACAACCAGAACCACAACATTAATGGCAGCCAATGATGCTGGCTGCTTCCCTGCTGTCAAACCAGGGCTCCTCCAAATGTGGTCCTTGACCAGCAGCATCTAACAACACGTGAAGAATGTTAGTCCACAGGCCTCAACCCAGAACGCAGGGACCTGAAACTCCAGGGCTGGGCCCAGCCATCCGAGTTTACAAACCTCCAGGTGATTCTGATGCATGCCAAGGACTGAGTATCCCAAGTGCCAGGCAATGCACCAAACACTTCAAAATACATCCTCCAAGATAGGGATTATTTCTTGCCACACTTGCTATATGAGGCAATCAAGGCCTGGGGAGGTTAAGTAAGTAGCCCCGGATCACACCGCCAGCAAGCGGCAGGCCCTATGACAAGCTTCTCCTGAGTCATCCCAAACACAGTCCCAGAGCTTCACGCGTCACAGGGCACTCACCTGGCCCAACGCCAACGTACTGACCACACTGCCAGTACTTCCAATTGTGGGTACTGAGCGCCCCCTGCGGGGAGGGAGGGAATAGTCAGCGCAGAGAGCAGAGTCTACGGAGCTCCGTGTAGCCGGGACCCTGCTCCCCACCTGCTTCAAGTCCCCAGGTCACACTTGAGCCTGTGCACCCCCTCACCTACAGCCCTCAGTCCCAGAACTCACATTCCTTGCGAAGTTGGAGACCTCGTACTGGCGGAAGCCGGCCTCCCGAAGGGCTGCCCGCCCCTCCTGGTACATCTCTGCAGCCAGCTCGGGGTCGGGGGCGGGCAGCGCCCCCTGCTGGACCTGGGCGAAGAGCGCAGTGCCGCGCTCCAGTGACAGCTGGTACAGGGAGACGTGGTCATCACAGAGGCGCAGCAGCTCCTGCAGCTGGTCCAGCCACGGCCCCACCTGCTGTGCCGGCAGCCCCAGCATCAGGTCCACGGAGACACGCCCGGGGAAAAGGCGCCGGGCTTCCGCCAGCGTCTGCAGAGCATCACTGGCCGAGTGTGTCCTTCCCAGCAGCCTGAGCTCAGCGTCGTCCAGGGACTGGGGAGAGGTTTGGACGGAAGCACGAAAGTCAGCCCAGAGGGGGACAGAAATGGCTCAGTGTTACTGTAGACACAGAATCATGGGTGTTGCAGACCGAGGGTCCCAAAGAATGAAATAATTTTATAATTATTAATAATGAAACAGACTACCAGGAATGATATAGAACAGAGAGTGTGAAAAACAGGGGAGCAACAGTTCCCACGACTGAAGGCCCCAAGACATGCTTCTCTGAGTATTTATTTAGAATCATAAGGAAGGTAAACAAAGTAAAATCATAAGGAAGTACAAAACAAAAACAAAGGATAATGGTGAAGTCTTTTACAGATAAGGCCAAGTTCCTCTTTATGCTAATCTCAGGAGGGAGGGATTCAGTTGATACAAACTAAGAACAATGTTGACTCTTAGGGAACACCTTAGTGCCACAAGGTGACCTCAGCTTGTATTAAGCATCCCTCATTTCCTGATATAGTATTTGGTCTACTATTAGTAAATTTGATATTCGGCTTCCCTCAAGGGGGACTGTGGGGCACAGCACAGAGCTGGGGGGCAAGCCAATTGCCAATTCACTCTTGCATAGTGTCTATATAAATCTCTTGATATTAGCTCCATTCTAAGGATAAGGAGATAAGGCTCAGGCTCAATAATGTTAAGTAACTCACCCAAAGTCATTATGCAAAGTGAAGCCTGGAACTCAGTACTACTATCTTACTCTAAAGCTGGTAGCACAGTGATTAAATTGTTCAGCTTCAAACCAGAAATTTCCTAGTTTGACATCACAAACTGCTCCACAGAAGAAAGCCGTGGCAATTTGTTTTCATAAAGATTTACTACCCTGGAAACTCTATGAGAAGTTGTACTGTGTCCTATAAGGAAAGGGAACTGAGTCGATGGTAATGGGTTTGGGGACACTAATACCAAGAGTCTTCTCTATTTTGAAATATTTCAAACCTACAGAGAATCTGAAGAAGAGTATTACAAATATCTCCATCTAGACTCACAAACTAACAGCATTTTGCCACACATTTTGTTTCTCTCTAATAACACACCTGTATCAATTATGCTGAATCATTTGAGAGTAAGTTACAGACCAGCTCTGTTCAAAAGAACTTCCTGACATGATGGGAATGCTTTCTCTCTGCATCCAGAATAGCAGGCGCTATCTATCCACATGCGAGTGAGTACTGGAAATGTGGTTACTTAAACTTAACTAACAAATTTAAGCCTTTGTTTAGGAAGCCATGAGTTTCTGTTTTCTTTTCTTTTTTTTTAAATATTTTTTTATTTTATTATTTTTGTGTGTGTGTACCGTCAAATCAGATCTGACTGGTACAGGAGGAGCTTGCCCCTCCTTCCCCGGCAGAGCATCTGGTGGATTCGAACCGTGCACGAGTTTCTGTTTTCAAAACAACAAAATTCAAACTCTATCATCAGTTCCAACTCACAGCTGACCCTCCACTGGATTTCTGAGGCTATACATTACATAGAAGAGGACTCCCTACTTATCTCCCATGGAGCCAGTGGATGTGAACCGCCAAAGAGGCATGGCCTTGGAGTTGGCGGCACATCTCCCTCCTATGTCATCAGAGCTCCCTAAGTTTCTGACCAGTGATAGAAAAATGTGGCAGTCATTAAGGACACCAGAAAGACAACTGATTAATGTCATTGACATCACTAGGCAGCACACCTGGAAAAAATTACACTGGCAAATATTGTGCGCTGTGTATTTTCACACACACAAGGGAAGCTGCTGATATTCCTCATGTACAACCTAAATAAATTTAAATAACAAGTTTAAATATTCATAACATTTACATGGTGGCTACTGTATTGGGTCATGCATGAAGTGATACATCTTGAACTCCCTTACCCTACATACTTAAGTGCATACTTCTAAGAAAAAGAAGATTCTCTGAAGTGACCGCAATCCAAATACAGAGTTCAGGAAATGTAATACTGACACAATACTATTATCTAATACAAAGTCATATTCAAATGTGACCAATTGTTCCCATGATGTCTAATGTAGTAATTTCCTCCTTTTACCTCAATTCAGGATGCAGCCGAGTTACTCAATGCAGCTGCCACTGTCTCTAAAAATCCCAATCACTGCCTCTTAAATCAGCTCCAACTAACAACGACCTTCCCCGGAACAGCTAGTGGACTCATTTTTTTGGTTAGCATTCTAATGCATACATCATCAGAGTGTCTCCAAAAAAAGCCATCTGTCTTTCAGTCTCCTTAAATCTAGTCTAGATGCTCTGATTTTCTTTCTCTTTCATTACTTGGACAATTTTTATCAGTACAGGCCAACTGCTGTTTAAAATGGCTCTTAATTTAGATTTTCCTGATGTTTCCTCACTATTCTCTTTCATTGCCATGGAGTCAGAACTGACCCACAACTGACTCTTCAGCAGCTGTTCTGAAGCTGTAAATTGCACTGGAGGAGACTGCTGATGTCTATGCCCCAGGGCGGCTGGTGGCCTGGCACCACCAAAAGAACCACCTTTGTATTAGCAGAGTGACTCTCTACAGACTATGCCACCTGGGCTCCCTCTCCTCACTCCTAGATTTAAGGTATGCACTTTGGAAAATATTATCTCAGAAATCATATGTCCCTTTCAGTACATCCCATCAGGACAAACGCTATGGTCTACAATAAGTGGTACTGAAAGGTGGAACAATGCTGAGCATGGAAATAAAAGCAGTTAACTTAGCAGGACAGTTTCTCCCTACTCAAAAACCTTCCCCAGTAGTCATAGTGCCCTTAAGACAAAATTGAAACTCCTTAGAATGATGCTGTGAGCTTTGAGACTCTACTTTTCAGGCCTATCTCTAGCCTGTCCAGTCAAAAGAAATTGTTATGTGCTGTCGAGTTGCCTGTGACTCATAGCGACCCTATGTACAAAGCCCTAAACCCCGATCTATCCTGTGCCAATCTTATTTTCTCTGATAGAACTACCCCCATTATCCCACTCACTCAATTAATCCATCTCATTGAGGGTCTTCCTCTCCTGTGCTGTCCCTCCACCCTCCCAAGCATATCTCTCTCTAAGGACTGATCCCGCCTTGCAACATGTCCAAAGTATGTCGGACACAGCTTCAGAATCCTTGCCTTCAAGGAGCAGCCTGGCTTCACCCTCTCCAGGACAAACTTCTTTGTTCTCCTAGCAGTCCATGCAATACTCTTCTCCAGCACCAAAGCTCAAAGGCATCAATTCTCCTTCTATAATCCCTAGTTACTGTCCAGCTTTCTGATGCATAGCAACTGAGTGCGAAGACCATGGTCTGTATCAGGAGCACTTTAGTCTCCAGACTGACATAGTAGCTCTTCAGTACTTTGTCTGACAGCAGACTTTTCCAATGCAATCAGTCTTTTAATTTCCTGGCTGCTGGCACTAAGAGTGTTGATTATAGAGCCAAGCAAATTGATGCTGTTAACAATCTCAATCTTTCACCACTTCTCATGATGCTGCCAAGCGTCCCAGTGGTGAGAATCTTTGTTTTCTTGATGTTGAGCTTCAATCCATATTGAAGGCTACAGTCCTTGACCTTTTGCAGCAAGCACTTCAGGTCCTCCTCAGTTTCAGCAAGCAGGGTTGTGTCATCTGCATAACACAGGTTGTTGATATATTGCATATATGCAAAAGAAATTACTAATAGCTAAAATGGGCATATTTTGTGACTTCTCCTGGAATGCTTTCTTTCACCTGGTAAACTTCTCTTTCTCATTCAACCATCACCTCCTCCAAAATGCCTTCCTAGATTTCTCCAGGTTTAAATGCTTTTCCATCTGTACTTTGAAAAAGACTCTACAGGCAGCACTTAAGCTACAATGATCCAAGTATGTGCAACTGTCTATCTCTCCTTTGGGTTCCCATTCATTCATGTTCTAGACCTTTCTTGAGCACCAATTATGTGTCAAATGAATGATGATGACTCGGATGATGAATAGACTCAACTGGCAACTAATTTTTAAAAAAGCCCCAACATATTAGACACGGTGGTGAAGTGTGGAATATAAGTGATGAACAAAGAGGTTGAGGGTTTAACACTGTAGTAGATAAGTATTTTTGAAAGTGTCACTACACTGCACACCCATGTTTATCGCAGCTTTGTTCACAATAGCAAAGAGTTGGAAACAACCTAAGTGCCCATCAACAAACAAATGGTTAGAGAAGCTGTGGTATACTCACACAATATAGTACTATGCTGTATGGAGAAACAAAGAACTCATGAAATATTATACAAAATGAGTGACCCTGGAGGACATTATGCTGAGTGAAGTATCTCAGTCACAAAAGGACAAATACTGCATAGTGCCACTGTTGTAAAAGGGGACTGACATCAGCATAGGGGGGAGAATGAGAAAGAGGGGATAAATTATGCATACTGCACTGAAATTGATGAGGGAGAGAACTGTTTAAAAGGGATATATGACTAGGTATTATTGCCATGACAGGAGTCCAGAACGAAGGCTGCATAGTGGAGTGGACTTGGGGGAGGGATTGCATAAAACAATGAAAGAATTTATCTTTTACTTTTCAAAGAGAAGAGCAAACTGGGGTGGGGGAGGGGAGAAAAGTGTAATAATGAATGAATGGAAATCCAAAGACTCTTTAAACTTTCCTTAAAACTAATAATAATTAGGTGAGCTCTGGTGGCCTAGTGGCAAGAAGCTGCAACTGCAAGCTCAGAGGTGCACAGTTCAAATCCACCAGATGCTCTGCTGGAGAAGGAGGAACAATCTCCTCCTGTACCAGTCAGATCTGATTTGACAGTACACACACAAAAAATAATGAAATATTAAATAAAAAAAAAACAAAACCAAAACTAATAATAATTTAAAAAGTGTCACTACACACTTCTCAGCACCTAGCGTGTTCTGCAGATAGCACTTCAGTGGAATTACATGATGTTAAGGGTGCTCTTTGGGAGCTCTGGCGGCCTAGTGGTAAGAATCTGTGTTATAATCCCTAAAGGCACCAGTTCAATTTCTCTAGCTGCTCCATGGGAGAAGGATGGTCAATCTCCACCTGTGTGATTATGGCCTCTCAAAACCTGCTTGGAGAGTCAGCTATGGGTTGGTTCCAAGTCGATGGTACAAAACAACAAGGGTGCTCTTCAGTTTATAGGGAGCTCTGGTGGCCTAGTGCTAAGAAGCTGTGCTGTGATCACAAAGGCACACGGTTCGAAACCACCAGCTGCTCCCTGGGAGAAGGATGGGCAATCTCCTCCCTTTGGATTAACTGCCTCCGAAAACCTGGCGGTAAGCTAGAGTTAATCAGCTATGGGTTGGTTCCACTTAATGGTACTCAATGACAACCATGTTCTGTATCCAGAAGGATCACACTAAGAAGACAGCCCTCCAGGCCTGGGTACACGGGTGTGTGAGTGTGAGATGGTTACCTGGAGACCAATAGACAGTCTGTTGACTCCTGCTGCCCCAAATGCTGCCAACTTTGAGCCTGGGGACGAAGTGGGGTTGGCCTCCAAGGTGACCTCTGCATCTGCGGGCAGGTGAGTCGCCTGAGCCACTGCCTCGAGGACAGCAGCCACAGTGTGGGGACTGGCCAGGCTCGGAGTGCCCCCACCAAAGAACACAGACTCCACCCTGGGTGGGGGGGGAGAATGGAGATGAGCCACGAGCGACATCCTCTGCGACAGCTGCACCCGTGCTATTCACTCTCACTCAACTAGTTCCCAAGACCACTATATCTAGAGCCCCCCATACTCACCGCTGCACCCCGCTCAGCCGCAGCAGAGTCTGAGCCTCCGTCACCAGACAGCTCCGGACGGCTGCCTCCTCCACTCCGTGAGGGATGTACTTGTTGAAGTTGCAGTAACTGCAACGCTTCTGACAATACGGCCACTGGGTGCAATGTATGGACAAGGTGAGGGGGGACCCCGAGAGGTACTAGCCATTCCCAAGGTTCTCATGCCCATCCCCACTTCTGATGGGTCAAAAGTGGCTAAGACAACTGAGCTGCCCAACTCCACAAAGCAGGTCAGACCACGCTTACTCCGCCCTCTTCAATAGTGAAAGCAGGTTTACAAGGGAAATCAGGTCTTCTGATCAAGTCACGTCCTTGCTAGAATGCAGGGTCCCATCCCAATCTCATCTAGGGGCGAGGAAGGATGGATGGCACGAGCGTTCATAGGACCGCCCCGGCCAGGACCCGCGAGCTCCGTGCACTTCACTCACGTGGACGTACAGCGAGGCGCGCCGGTTCGGAGGCACAGAACTGCGGGGTCCTCCCGCGCCGTCCACTCGGTGGCGCCTCTGGGCAGCTTTGGCCGCTGCCATCCAGCTGCGGGGACGAATCCGGGGGAGGGTCATGGTGCTTGGTGGCAGGGGCGTGGTGGAATGTGCTCCGGGGAGGAACGGAGCCTGAGTCGTTCCCCCCGATGCGAGAGAGTCGACAGAAGAAGCCGGCCGGGTGGGCTGCCCCGGCGGAAGAAGGAGGGGCTGCGAGAGCGCGCGCGCACCCGGGGAAGCGTGCGGAGAGCCGCGGGCCTCGGCTCTGCGGCGCCACCTGCTGGGCACCGGCGTCCGAACAGCCTGTCGCCGCGTCCTGGCTCCCTTCCCAAAGTGACTCCTGTGACCCAACTAGGACTTTCCGTTTGTTCAGACACTTCTTTTTTTTTTTTTTTTTTTTCAAATGCCTAGCTCAGAGCCGGGCGCTGGAAATATGAATAAAAGCTAGGTTGCAATCTAATAGGCGAGAGGCAAACCAAGAAGCCACGCCAGGCGACGGAGCCTTCTTGATACCGAGCCAGTGTGTCTCAACAGCCTGGGAGTCTGAGCAGCCTGGGAGACATGGGTGAGGCGAGGACCCCTGGATCCCGTCTTGCAAAAGCAGAAAATCCCTTAGGGAATCAGCTTGATCAGAGGAGTGGGCTTTCTGTCACCTCCTGGGTCAGGCAGATCTGGGCCCTGCGGCTGTACCAGCTGGGAGGAGAGTTGGAGATGGTGTACGTATGAAACGCAGGATACAGGGGAGCAAGTGGGGAAAGCTGACCGCTGGTGTGAAAAGATTATGGGTTTGGCTGTTTGACAATTGCTCTCGAATCCCGGCTGTGTGATCTTGGTCAAATCTCTGAACCTCTCTGAGTTTCAGTGTCCTCAATTTTGAAGTCAACTAAATATCTACTTTATAGGACTGTTGGGAAGATTTCAAAAGAAAAATGTATAAAGAAGCTGGTAACAGTGTCTGGCACCCGGGGTATCCTAAGCATGTACCATTTTCTTAAAAAGCAAAGTGGAGGCTGTTGCAGCTGCTGGGAGTAGGCACACTGAGAGATAAAAGAGTTGCAGGCAGAAGGACATTCTCTCCAGTTTATGAGAATCTGTGTTCTTTTTGGAATCCATCTGGCTGTGACCTGTCACCCCATTGACCTGCATGGTTGTCAGTTCATATGATTTGTCTGGTTAGGTGGATGTCCCCTTCCTCCTTTGCCATTTCATAGACATCCTTCCTAAAGCTTCCCATTGGGGGGGTTGAAGTTGTTATGTGCCATTAAGTCGGATCTAGCAGGTTTTCACAGAAGCTGTTACTTGTCTTAAAAAATACTTCTGTGCATCTAAATTCCAAAATCAATCTCCATAATAGTCTATGTGTTTCCTACTGCCAAAGGGGCCCTTTAGAGTAGTGAGAGAAGATCTTCACCCTTAAATCCACAGCGTCCCTTTTCAGCAGGAAGTAGCTAAGAGAATACGCCATCCCCTTTTCCTTATGACTCAGGGTGAAGTCTCTCTCAGGGAGGAGTGATAGGGAATGGCAAAGGACACACTGACAAAGAAGATTAATCAGAACTGGCTTTGACAAGCACTGTGGCATTTGGACAAGAACAAACTGGGAGGAGGGTAGAGAGAATAGTGCAACAATGAATGAATGGAAACCCAAAATCTCTGTAAATGTTTATGAAAATTAATAAAATATAATTATAGGAAAAAAATACTTCTTGCTTAATTTATCTGTAAAGTGCATATCTTTCTCCAGCAAATCAGGTGGTGGATATGAACTGCCTGCCTTTGGGTTGGCAGCACAGCTCCTTACTTACTAAGACACCAGAGCTCCCTGGGCTGGTCACCAGAGCTCTCTGAGTCGAAGAGGATAACCTTATTCAATAAAGGAGGAACATCCTCAGCTCACGAGTTACATATATAGCTGAGCTCTCCCTGCTGGAACCTCCAAACAGGCGCTCAAGATGTAACCTGCTTTGTAAGTACTAAAAGAAAAAAGCCTTACTGCTTTCGCATCAGAAACAATTCATAGCTGATTCTCCAAAGTGTTTCCAAGGTTATAAACTATATCAGGAGAGATTGCTCATCTTTCTCCCTCAGAGCAACTGATGGACTCAAACTGTCAGAGAGGCTCAGCCTGTGAGTCAGAAGCTCAGCTCCCTACAGACTATGCAATACCAGAAGATTCCCTCTTGTTGTTTATGTACCATCAAGTTGGAACTGACTCATAGCTCACCTTCTAGTAGGTTTTCAGGAGCAGTAAATCGCAAGGGAAGAGAGTTCTCATCTTTCTCCCATGGAGCAGCTGGTGGATTTGAACCATGTGCCTTCGGGTTGGCAGGGCAGCTCCTTACCTGTAGGCCACCAGATTTCTTTTTAAGGTACTGAAAATGTCCTAGAATTGATGTGATGGCTGCATATATCTATGACTATCCTAAACAACATACATGCCTTTGGAAACTATGATCTTAGAGAAAGACGATAGTTACAGAACAGGGTTCACATCTTTTGTTTATAGGGTCGCTATGATTCGTGCTTGGCTCGACATCAGTCAACGTCACAACAATAACATACTAAAAACCAATTGATTGATACACTTACAAGAGTAACTCATGTTGTTAGGTGCCATCTAGTTGACTAAGACTCATGAACACCGTGAACACCACATCTGAACCTTGTCTTATCCTGCACCATTCTCACGATCTCTCATGCTCAAACCCATCGTTATGGTCAATGTATGTGTCAATCCATCTTGTTAAGCAGGTTCCTCTCTTTCTCTGATTGTCCGCCTTTCCCAGCATGATACAGTTTTTCCAAGGATGGGACCCTTCTGACAACATGCCCAAAGTATGTGTGACTGCACTTCTCCAAGACAGGGGTTTGTCCCTTTGGCAGTCCATGGTATATTCAGTACTCGTTAATTATATCTCAATAAAGCTGTTACTTGTCATAAAAATATTTATTGCTTCATTTACCTGTCAAGAATATGAAAAATAGGGGGGCAGGCAGGAGGGAGGAAATTGTGCAACAATAAAAGAATCTTGTTAAAGAGAAATTCTAACTGTGTGGGGGCGACATGGAGGAAAATGCACAACAATGAATGAATGGAAATCCAAGTTTCCTGTAACCTTCATTAAAATATCAATAAAAAAATTAAAACACACACAAAAACCCCTCAATGTAAAATGAGAACTCTAAGGTGACTGGATTGGACTAGAGTGTTTCTGAGTTGACTGTCAGCTCTGATATTCTATAATGAACTCTAATAGGTTTTAAAAAATTAAGCTTAGGGGAACCAAGATAATACACACTATCCAATTCAGCCATATGCATCTAAGTCATGCAATTATACCAGAGGATAATTGTTTAGCCTGCGTTTGTCAGAAGTCAGAGCTTGAGATAAAAAGTTCAATTGTTTTGACTCTATTATTAATTATTAAATGACTCTCTCTTTCATTGTCATCAAGTCAGAATCAACTCGTAAACAATCAATTAGATTCTGAGGCTGGCAAGAGAAGAATGGGCAATCTCCTCCCGTGTGATTTACCGCTTCTGAAAACCCAACGGAGGGTCAGCTATGGGTCAGTTCTGACTTGATGGTACTCAACAATAACAACAAATCACACAGGAAGAGTGCCCATCTTTCCCCTGCGTAGCTGCTGGAAGATTCAGCAGCTGGAGAAGCTTGACCTGTGGTTTAACAGTGCCACTCTCCACAGACTCTACACCTGAGCTACCTTGTGGCTACATCTCACTCATCGTCATCGAGTTGGAAATTACTTATAGCTGACCCTCCAGTGGCTTTTGACAAACTGTAAATTACATGGGAGGAGATTGCCCATCTTTCTCCCGTGAAAGCTGCTGCTGCTGCTGGATTTGAACCACCAGACAGGCATGCTGCCTTTGGGCTAATAGTACAACTCCCTACCCACTACACCACCAGAGCTCCCTCATGATTGTATGTTGCTGTGATTATGTGCTGTCTATTTGGGATCAACTCATACACCCTCCAGTGGGTTTTCAGGGCTGTAAATTACGTGGGGTAGGAGCTGAATGGGCAATTTCCTGCCATGCGACTAACTGTCTCTGAAAACCCCCAGAGGGTCAATATGGGTCGGTTCCAACTCTCAGGTACTCAATAACAACACAACGAATTGCACAGGAGGAGAGTGCCCATCTTTATCTTATGGAGCAGGTGGTAGATTCAAACCATGTGCCTGTAGGTTTAGCATAATTTCTGACCACTAGGCCGTGAGAGCTCCCTCATGAGTATATAGTCTTGTAAAAGGTTGGCTTAGCATCTCAAAGGAATGCCAAAACCGGTTGCTATTGAATTGATTCCAGTTTGAGGCGCCTGTGAGTGTCAGAACAGAGCTATTACATACTCGAGGGATCCCATGGCTGTTTCTTCAGGTGATTACCAGGCTTGTCTTTTAATGTGCCTCTGGGAGGACCCAAACCTCCCTCTAAGATTTTTTGTTACCAGCTAAGTACATTGTTACCAGCTAAGCACCACCCAGGACTCTCAAAGGGACAAGATGAGGATTAAAATGAATCGATATTTTATTGCCACTTCAATACTGACTCATGGTGACCCCACGGGTTGCAGAGTAGACCTCCCCTAGAAGGGGTTTGTTTGGCTGTAATCTTTATGAAAGCAGATTGACATGGTTTGCTATCACAGTACTGCTGGATGTGTTCAAACTGCCAATTGTTTGGCCAGAAGTCAAGTGGAAACCGTGTAGATCACTTAGGGGCCAAATTAGATTAGAACGTGTATGTCACGCTGAGGTGTGTTGACAAGGAATGTTGTTCAATGCTGTCAAATCGATTCTGACTCCTAAGAATCCTGTGTGTAGTACGGCCACGTGGAATTTTCTAGGCTGTAGTCTCTATGGGAGCAGTTAGCCAGGTCTTTCTCCCGTGGAACCACTGGGTGAATCTGGAATAGCCACTCTTGGTTCGCATGGAATGCCCGAGTGGTTGAGTGGGTTTCAACTCACAGGGACCCTCCATGGGGTTTCTAAGGCCTGTAATTTTCCAGGAAGAGATTGCTCAGCTCTTTCCCTTAGAGCCGCTGTTACCTTTGAACTGCTGGCCTTTGGGTTAACAGCCTGGCACACTGTGCATTATGACAAAAAAATAGGAGGTCTGAAAAAATGCCAGTTTCCCTTTAGGTTCATCCCTTCTTCATCCCCCAGGAGCCACTAAGACAGCACACTGGCAACTGACCAGTCAAAGAAGAAGGAAGTTCTTTATGGCAAATCACAAGGACAGAAGAGGGTGGGAGGGGGCAGGAAGAGGGCCTGGGAGGAGCCCCTTCTCCGCCACGTTCTTTTCTTCACAGCTTTAGATGCCTTTCCATCTCCTCTCGAAGTTTGAATTTCTGGATCTAGAGGAAAGAGAGGGGAGTAAGAACCAGGCGTGGCGCCTCTGCCAGCTAGGGTGACCAACCATTTCAGTCTGCCTGGATTTGAGGCATGTCTCTGGGGTTTTAGTACTAAAACCAGTGAAAGGCAAAGCAGAATGTGTGAACAAGCTGGTCATGGCACTGCCTGCTGTGAGAGTGGGTGACCATCATGGAGGGAATCAGGGGTCCCAGCCAAGGGAATCATAACTGGCTGTACCTGGGCCCCCAGACTGCCCTGCCCCTCCTCCATACCCACCTTTCCTGAGATGGTGAGGGGGTACTTGTTGACAAACACGATGTAGCGGGGAATCTTGAAGTGGGAGATCTGTAGATCAGAGGGGAGTGGACGGCAAGCATGAGGGTGGGCGGGTGAGAAAGAGGGCTGTACTTGGCAGGAAGCCAAAGGCGTTATCATCCAATGCTGGGGTGCCCAGGAGAGATGGGGTGAAGAGCCCAGCAGAACCACCAGGGGTCGGGGTAGGTGTTGGGCTTGACTATCCCACCTTCCCTTTGCAGAAAGCTTTGATCTCCTCAGCGGTGGCATTCTCCCCAGTCTTCAGCCGGATGCAGGCACAAATTTCCTCCCCCATCCTCTGGTCCTTCACACCCACCACCTGCCAGGTCCAAGATCAGACATCGCCAGCTGTCATCCACGGTTCCTGCTCTCCGAGGGTCTCCTGGACTCCTCCGGACTTCCCATCTTACCTGCACCTCCTGCACCTGTGGGTGTTTGTGAAAGAAGTCCTCAAGCTCCGCGGGATAGATGTTCTCCCCTCCGCGGATGATCATGTCCTTGGAGCGGCCCACAATCTTGCAGAAGCCGTCTTTGTCCATCACGGCGATGTCTCTGCAAGGAAAGCGCCTTGGTGGGTTCTTGCTCTCCTTTATCTACCAAGTGCCTGCTCTGTCTGTGCTTCTAGAAAAAGCATCCTGGACAAGATGCAACCCTTAAACAGGGTCTGAAGGAGGAGGCAGAGGAACTAAACCAAGACCTCTAACATAATCTCTCTGTCTCTATAAGTATACCTCTTTTTTTATCATAGCTGACTTTTATCATTCGACTGTTTTCTTCTTCAAGAAGTCTTCTCTGAACACTCAAGCTAAAGGGAGTCCCCTTCCCACCATAGCTATCATCTCTGCAATAATCTTATTTTAATCTCTCTTGGCATTTATCAGTGTTGGTTTGAAAGGATCTTGTTTGTAATCTAGTACCTCTCACCAAACTTGTGGGAAGAACCAGTGGAGCCCGTCCCATCTTGCTGTTGGACTGGACTGCCACTGTCTACAATGTGTTTGCTCATAAAACAAACAAACCAAGAGAGCTGCTGTTGAGATGCTTGTGACTCATGGTGATTCACATAGCATGTTGTGGAGTAGAATTGTATTCCATAAGCTTCTTGAGGCTGTGATCTTTTCAAAGGCCATCACCAGGCCCTTCGTGTGAGGTACCTCTGGGTGGATTGGCACCATCAACCTTTCAATTGGCTGTCAGGTCCTAAAAACTACACCACCCAGGGATTCTGCTGGCACATAGTAGGTACGTAACAAGTGACCAAATCGTGATTGGGGCACTGGTGCAGTGGTGTCCTATCCAAGCTCTCAGATCAGTACCACATTTGACCCCCCAATAACGTTGCACATGACTATCCCTACTTTATAGACTTTGAAAATGAATCTTATTATTATTATTACTATTTTTAAATTTTTATTGTATTATTTTTATGTGTACCGTCAAATCAGATCTGACTGGTACAGGAGGAGATTGCCCCCTCCTTCTCCTGCAGAGCATCTGGTAGATTTGAACCGCATACCTCTGGGATTACAGTGCACCGTCTTGCCACTAGGCCACCAGAGCTCCCTGGAAATGAATCTTTAAGATATGATGCTCTGGGGGTGTGGTCCATAGGAAGCCACGCTGCTAACCCAAAGCCCACGCCTCTCTGGTGGTTCAAATTCAACAGCCAGCAGCTCTGTGGGAGAAAGATGGGCAGTCTTCCTTCTGTGTGATTTACAGCCTCAGAAACCCAGTGGAAGGTTAGCTATGAATCAGGCCCCAGTGGCAATGAGAATGACTGAGAGAGAAGATGTGAAGAGCTCATTTCAACACTCGTGTTTTCCCTGTCGTCCTTTAATGCTCCCAGCTCAGCCCACCCTCCAGCCCATCCTGTCCTCTCACCCTGTCCGGTACCACCTATCTTGTCCGATCGCCTCCTCGGTCTTCTGGGGGTCACCCCAGTAGCCCAGCATGACGCAGTACCCTCGGATCCACAGCTCCCCAGGTGTGTTCAGCTCCACAAGCGCCTTGGACTCTGTGTTCACAATCTGGGCCTGGGAGAGGGAAGCGTCAGGGTGGGGCCTCCAATTCTATCACTTTAGAATGGGAAGGATATTGCGCACAACCCAGGAAAAGAGAGGTGCAGATAGCCATTAGCAAGTGGAGACCTGAGCTGGAAGCTGGGTCTGAAGGAACACTGTGGCCCAAGGCATGGACTGAGCCGGGAGGGTGAATGTGGGAAGGAAGCCGCCACAATGACAGAGCCCTGTGGAAGGCCAGCAAAGAAATGATAAAGTTTAGAAGACAAGAAAGTCTCTCCTCACATGCCAGCATGCAGAGAGTAAGAAAGCCAGAGAGGAGGGCATGGCAGTGCCATGTGACCCAGAGAGCAGCAAAGAGGCATCTGAAAGCCTCACAGGGGAAAAATGGGCCTTGGCCAGCAGCCCACGGAAAATTCAGCCTCTGTGTGCTTCAGGGTCTGTATCTATGAAATGGGGCGAACTGTGCCTGCCTTCCTCATAAGAGTGTTAGGGACTGGCGAACAAATGCAAAGACACTAATTGTCACTGCACCCTCATTCCTCACAGGATGAGGCAGGGAGGGGGCTGGAAAGACTCAAACCAACATGGTGGTTAGTCCCCAGGGAATCCTGGGCCACTGCCAGAGACCCTGCAGGGGCAAATGAGGGGAGTGGGGGAGCTGGCTGTGGGCTCGCATAACAATATCAGTATTGGGGCAGGAAACACATCCTGAATGTGAATCTGAGAAGGAGAAGTGCTCTGGGTCACCCTGTGTGGAATGAGGGACCCCCAAAGGGGCAGGCTGCTTGGGGAATGAAGTGTTTACGCCTAAACCAAAGGGAGAGGCAGGCCAGACAGCCAGGCAGGCCACTCTCCACGCTCTTGCTCCTCTGTAGACTTCCCTGGCCGCTCAGAACAGACAGTGGGACTTGGCAAAAACACACGGCAGACAGGAAGGGAGACTGAGGAGAAGTTCAGCTGGCAGTGGCTCAGGCCTCCGCTCCAGCTTTCTTCCTCTCTCCAGCCTCAGCCTCAGAGAAAGGCCAAGGCCCAGTGAGACCCTGTGTCTCCAGAGAACTAACTGTGTGGCTCTCAGACTGCAACTGGTATTTGTCCTTGGGGCTGCATCCCAGTTGATCTGTAGGATGTGGGGTCCTTCCCGCCTCACAGTGGCTCACCTCCGTGTGAGGCATGACTCTGCCCACACTTTCTGCCTTCTGTTCCTCAGGGTCATCAGGGAAGTGCATGAAGGTCACAGGGCTGTTCTCGGTGGTCCCATAAGCAACCTGGAGGGTGGGGGAAGGGGTTTTCAGAGTGCCCAGTGGAGGAATGCAGTGAGCTGCCCTGGAGAAGCCAGGGAGGGATTGCTTTTAAGACAAGAGGAGCATGAAGAGTGGCTGAATGATGGGAACAGAAATGTGAGTAGTAGAGGTCAGGGGTCAGGAGTCAAGGATCAAATAGGCAGATGCACCAGGACAGTGCACAGGCTAGATCCCTGCAGAGGAACCAGCTCTGAAAATTGAGCTCAGGGAAACTATTATTTTCCAGTCTCCTGCTAGAAAAACAAACAGATTCATCCTGGAGAGGGTTAAACCGGGCGGCTCCTTGGAGGAAAGGATTCTGAGGTTTCGTCAAACATACTTTGGACATGTTGTAAGGATGGACCGATCCTTGGAGAGGGATATCATGCTTGGTAGGGTGGACGGACAGCACAGGAAGGGAAGGCCTTCTATGAGGTTGATTGATTCAGTGACTGGGGTAATCGGGATGGCTGTATCAGAGACAGTGTGATTGGCACAGGACAGAGCAGAGTTTAGGGCTGTTGTACATAGGGTGACTATGAGTCACAAGCGACTGATGGCACATAACAACAACCAGATTTCCCTAAATAGCCACTGGCCTGCAGCTCTCAACATTACCAACGTGCTAACTTCTGCCCCTCGTTTCCAGACTGCTCCCCTCAATTTCAGGCCACAATATCCCAGCTGAAGGTCCCATAAACCTGATGAGAAAGCCAGTCCACTTTTGCCCGCCTGGGATCTACACAGGCAGCCTCATCCCTCAAACCTGGGACACATGCCTGGCCTTGGGGTAGGTGCCTCTTCACAGTTTTGGAAGTTTTCCTGTGAATTTATTTCCATCAACACAAAAGTACAGCCAGCAGCATCCCTCTCCCTCCCCCCCCACCCCCCCCCCCCAACTACACACACACAGACAGACACACTCATTCCTAGTGGTTAAAACATCCTGAGCAGAAAAACCAGAAGCCCGTCATGGAGGAGCCCAAATATATCAGGGAATGTTCCGGGCCAAGTATGACCCTTATGTAGAGGTAAGGGAGGCTCTCTGACTAGGTTCCCCGCCTCTGGGTACTGGGTGAGCCCAGTTCTCTGGAACCCTCCCCCTCTGTCCGATGCTTAGAAAGGACACCAGACTCTTTGTCTGAGCCCATCCCCCTCCTTCCCCTTGCTTGGTGTGGACACAGCCAGGGTCTGGCTCAAACTTGGAGTCCTGGGGTCCCTCCCCCAGTACAGGCAATGCCCCCTGCCAGGCAGCCCAGCTGGCCCAGGGCATAGAGCTGTCATCCTACCCGTCTACTTTCCCTTTTCCACAGCAATCTGCTCACCAAGACTGGCACACAGTGGGCACACAGAGCCCTGGCTGGCAGGCACTGGCTTCCTGGAACCTCGGGTTGGGCCGCCAGAGCCATTCTGTGCTGGACCATGGTATCCAGGACCTGCCTGCTCACCCGCCCCACTGTCCTGGGGCCACTGCCTGGGTGTGGCCTGCACCAAGTATATCTCGGCGCCACCCTGAAAAATCCCTTGGGGGGGAGGTCCTGACCACCATGGGTAGAGGGGGTGAGAATATTTTGAGATTAAGGGGGGCGGGCGCTTGCTCAGTTGCCCTGACTCCAGGCGTGTTTCTGAGTGATGAGGGTCACCCTCACCCCAATTTTCTGGTAAGCCAACAGCCTTTGGGGTGGGAGGTATGATTGTATTAAGGGCGGACAGGAGATGGCAGAAACTCAAGTCCACAGCTGGGAAAGGAGGGGTGAGTCCAGAGTGAGGAAATGGCTCTCATCTCCTGGAGTGTCCAGTCCAATGCAGGACAGCACGAGTCCCATTAAAGCGCCAACCACGGCGGGACTCACATCCCTGTGGGCATTCCTCCCTCCGGTGGCCGGGCACATGGCCCAGAGGGTTTGGGAGGGGGAGGCTCAACTTGAGCAAACAAATTCAGACTCAGGGAACGCCTCCCTCCCTCCTTCCCACTGCTGGTGTGAACTCAGACCTCTAGACACACCTTTATCTTCTCGCCCAGTGCCCTGATTTGGGGGTGGGGGGATTAAAGGATGGAGAAAGGGAGGAGGGACTTAGGGCCTGAGAGCACGCGGGAAGAGGGCCACCCGAGGGGCGAGGTTTTGGGCCACGGTCCTAGCCAGGCAGGTCACCAGCCGGGGGCGAAGGGCGCTCCCCGTCGAGGTCTGGGGCGCTTCTCCGGGCGAGAGGGGGTTAAGCCTGGTGGCCCTGATGCTCCACGTAGGAGCTGGCTGGGCTGCCGGCTGCGGTCAGGGCCGCGGTATAAGTAGGGCGGGAGACCCGAGGATGAGGACTCGCCGCTGCCCGCGCTCGGCCACCGCTGCCACCGCTGCCCCAGGCTCCCGGCCATGGCCCGCCCGGTGCTCCTGCTCAGCCTCGGCCTCCTGGCCAGCCTGCTGCCGGCGCTGGCCGCCTGCCCCCAGAACTGTCACTGCCACGGCGACCTGCAGCACGTCATCTGCGACAAGGTGGGGTTACAGAAGATCCCCAAGGTCTCTGAGAAGACCAAGCTGCTCAACGTGCAGCGCAACAACTTCCCAGTGCTGGCTGCCAACTCGTTCCGGGCCATGCCGAACCTCGTGTCACTGCACCTGCAGCACTGCCAGATCCGAGAGGTGGCGGCCGGCGCCTTCCGAGGCCTCAAGCAGCTCATCTACCTGTATCTGTCCCACAACGACATCCGCGTGCTGCGCGCAGGCGCCTTCGACGACCTGACCGAGCTCACCTACCTCTACCTGGACCACAACAAGGTGACCGAGCTGCCCCGCGGGCTGCTCTCGCCGCTGGTCAACCTCTTCATCCTGCAGCTCAACAACAACAAGATCCGCGAGCTGCGCGCAGGCGCCTTCCAGGGCGCCAAGGACCTGCGCTGGCTCTACCTGTCGGAGAACGCCATCGGCTCAGTGCAGCCCGGCGCTCTGGACGACGTGGAGAACCTCGCCAAGTTCTACTTGGACCAGAACCAACTGTCCAGCTACCCCTTGGCGGCTCTGAGCAAGCTGCGGGTGGTGGAGGAGCTGAAGCTGTCCAATAACCCTCTGAAGAGCATCCCGGACAACGCCTTCCAGTCCTTTGGCAGATACCTGGAGACCCTCTGGCTGGACAACACCAACCTGGAGAAGGTAAGCTCCTGGCTGTGGAGCTCTGTTCTGGCTCCTGCTTTCCTTCTTGGAGGCCCAGGGATCCTGGGCCACCACTGGGTACCACCTCCTCACCTCCCTAATTCTGTCTGCCCCCCAGTTTAACATTAAGGTAAACAGAAGACTCCTTGGGTGAGGAGCTGCACTGCCTCTGTCCTTTACTTGTCATATCTGCTAACTCTGGCTCTAAGTCTTGATTCCTGTCCTTCCAGGAGCCATACAAATGGCCTCCCAAGGAGGCATTACAGTGTCTGCAAACCCCCAAATGTGGACAGTGGCCACCTCTTCCTGTTAGGCCTTCTGCCCTTGCCCACACCCCACCCGCCCCAGTAAACCTGCAACCCCATAAAGGAAGGTTTGTTTATAGAGGAGCTTTCCAGAGGAGCTGGACGAACCAGGCCCACAAAGAGACCCTGTTTCTGGTGGGGGCTGTGCATGTCTGCAAGGTGAGGGGGGTGCTGGGGGAGGGTGAGGGGAGCAGATACCTGAGAAAGACGCACCTCCACACCCTTCAGTGGCCTTGGAGAGCCCCCTGCCCCACCCACCATCCTAGTTCCACTGCGTTCCTCATGGACCTTTAAGCAAAGTTGGAGAAGTCAGGGCCTGGAAACCAGGGGCTCGCCCAGGCTACAGCCTCGGTGCCCACAGGCTCCATGAAGGAGCAAAGGTAAAAGCTGCGGACCATCATCAGCTTTGGCACAGAAACCCAGGCATCTCCGCGGGGACAAGTGTCTGAGCCTCACTTTGCCCAGCTCTCAACTGCCCTTCACCCATCCCACTCCTGAGGCTGTTTTTTTCTGATGTATCCTTAGTCCTCCACCCTCCTGAGGTATCCAGGACCAGGCCAGGTGGGTCTACCTTGGGTAGGGCTGGAACTCTCCTTAGGATTGGAAAGTCACCCTGGTGCCAGGGACATTACCCAGGAGGTGTGAGTGGGAGCCAGGATTCAGCACTGTCTGGTCACCAGAGAACATTGGATAGTCATTCCCCTAGCCTGAGCACAGGAGTGGGGATGGAGGGCGAGATCAAATCTGGATAGTAGCCAGCCTTTGCTTGGGTGGAGTGCGCCTGTCCTTCTTCAGCCCTGGCCCCTTTCCCAGCTGAAGTCAGAGTCCCTTATGTCCTAGCAGCATCACAGTGGCCTTTCAGTGGGCAGCAGAGCTGGGTATCAAGGGCTCATTTGGGGCAGGGGATGCCAGGGAGGAACTGCAGCCAAGATGTGGGCACCAACAGGACATTTCCTCTGGAGCCATCCAGCCGGACTCAAGTCTCCACCTAGGTGGCTCCACAAATAGTGGCTGGCAGACAGCGAGGGAGTCATGAGGACAGAGCTGGGGAGGTCCCAGGACCCTGGGGTTGTGGGGAGCCTGGGCCTACTGCCCACCTCACCAAACACCGACAGGGGCCAGACCCTGGCTGTGTCCCCAGTCCCAGTGTTTATGCAACGAGTGTGGGGCCAAGGGAAGAGTACTGGGTATTTACTGCAACTACTGTTTATTGCCTGGTGTGACTCCACCCAAGGGACTTCACTTCTTTGAGCCTCTGGTTTCCCATCTGCATACTGGGAATCTCAGCGTCCAGTGCATGGGTAGTGCAGATAGAGAGTGTGCCTGGCCGCTGACACAGAGGTTAGGGATTCAGGTCCACTTAGAAGTGCCTAAGAGAAAAGGCCTGGATATCCACTGCCGAAACAGCCACTGAAAATCTGGTGGTGCATAGTTCTCCTCTGGCACCCACGGGGCCACCATGAGCAGGAGTTGATTCTATGGGCAACTGTCATCTGTGGTAACTGTAGTGACAATGGTCTCTCTCCTCAAGGAGCCAACTTTTGTCAAGGGACATGGCAGGGGACGGGGCTGGGAGCTCACCCATGACCATCTTGTTTCCCAGATCTCAGATGGTGCCTTCCTGGGTGTGACCACACTGAAACACGTCCATCTGGAGAACAACCGCCTGAGCCAGCTACCCTCCAGCTTTCCCTTTGAAGGCCTGGAGACCCTCGCCATCACCAACAACCCCTGGAAGTGTACCTGCCAACTTCAGGGCCTGAGGAGGTGCGAATACTGCTTCCCTCCCCTGTGCTGGAACCCATGTTCAGGGGAGGGAGTAGGGCACCAGCCCTGCTCCTGCCCTAGTAGATGTGGGACCCTGAGGCCCTCTGCTTCCCCATCTGTAAACAGAGGGGGACAGTTCCAGGCAATCCCGAGGCCACATGAGTCCTGCCCCAGCACTCTCATATCTCTCCCCCAACTTCAATGACTCTCTGTCTCTCCAGGTGGCTGGAAGCCAAGACCTCTCGCCCAGGTGCTACCTGCAGCTCGCCCTCCAAGTTCAGGGGCCAGCACATCCGGGACACGACCGCCTTCAGAGGCTGCAAGTTCCCCACCAAGAGGTCCAAGAAAGCTGGCCGCCATTAAACAGGTGGGTAGTTCCCCCACTCCCCTCTGGAGATTCCAGCAAGGAAGGAAGATACCTCAGGATACTTCCTCCTCCAGGTCCTCCATTTCAGCCAGAAGAAGATGGGAGGCCTGGGGCTTTCTAAGCTGGTCCAGGAACATGCATGAGGGGCTTCCCTCCTCTACCCATCACCTGGCTTCCATCTGGGCTGTGGATGTCCTGACCACCGGACCCTTTCTCACTGCAGGTCCTCACCCAGCCAGTCCTGGTGACTGGCCTCTGCCGTCTGCTGGAGAGACTACTGACCTTTCCACCTGACCCCGCCTTCTCCCCACAGCCCCAGCCAATGCACTGAGCTGCCCACTCCTAGATGTCCTGGAGGGGAGGCCCTGGGTACTCCGGCTCCCGCACATGGAGGCCAAGAGAATAGCAGCCTGTCTGACCATTATTCCTGGCCCCAACACCCTGGTGCCTTGTCAAGACACCCTACTCCACCTCCAGCCACTCCCCAGAATCACCTTGTCTCTGATCCCTCTCCCTGTCATTTGGAAACCAACATCAGATATGGCCCTGACTCTGCTTCCAGAAAGAGTCGTAAGCCTGTACCTTTACTCCACCAGCCCCCCGCCCACCAGGATGCTAGTGTGGACACCTGTGCCTTGCTGCACACTCTCCCAAGCTGCGTTTCTCCCCCAGATTTCTATAAATATAAATTTATGTGTGTATATTATATACTCCAGTCACCCAGTCCCTGATGTACCAGCCGCTGTAGACATCAGATTATCTGCTCACGTTTACCTTTCAGCATAAGGGCTGGACGCGAGGCTGTGGCAGATTCCTGAGGCTCCCCCAGAGATCCAGCCTGGGCTTACCCCACGCTGGTCAGTCTGCTCTCACCCCAGGCCAGGCCTACCTTGCCCTGCTCGCAGCCACGTCCCAGCCAGCACTCACCGTCAGCTCCTTCAGGTGCAGCTTGTTAATGATGGCTCGGATCAGCTCGGGGGGTGCAGGGGACCCAGCAATCACACCTGAACCCGAGAGAAGGCTGACATGGCACCTTCCTTCTCCAAGTCCAGATCCCAGTCATAGTCCTCCATCTAGTGGCCAGCCTTGATCTGGTCCCTAGGGACTCTGGGGAGTGGCCCTTCTCCCATCCATGTCACAACTTAGTGTCCACTAAATTGAATTCGGGGAGCATATCTATCTCACCCAGGTCATTTCTGAGAGTAAGTCCCAGGCCACATAGAACTGGCAGCCCCCTACCCTCCCTGGGCCACCCTCGACCCCACCCCACCTCCGCTCATGGCTGAAATGTCATAGCTGGAGAAGTTGGGCTGGTTTAGGATGTCCACGAACATGGTAGGGGTTCCATACAGGAAGGTGCCTCTGTATAAGGGGGAAGACATCTCATAATTAGATGTGGAGGTGGAAGGGAACGCCTTCTCACCCACCTCACCTTGAACCTAGAGCAAGGGTCAAGGTAGAAACAGATGAGTAATGCCTAGGAGAAACTCTTTGAAAGCAGGAACTGGTCCTTTCTTGGGGTCCTCAGCTGCCCCTTGTCCCCAACTCTCCTTGTTAGAAGGAGGAAACACCTTGGGAAGGGCCTGAGGGCCAGGAAAGAGGACTCAAAGGGTCTCAGCAGCCCAAGGGTGCCTGTCCATCAATGCTCACCTCTCTTTGCTGACAGTCTCCAGAGCCTTCTTGCCATCAAAGGTCGGAGAGGACAGGATGAGGGTGGCACCGTGCACCATGCTCACCATCGTGCCCCCCACGGAGCCCAGGCAGTGGTACAGGGGGCTGGGAAGGACCAGCCGCATCTCATCTGGCCTCTGGAGATGGCAGCGGGAGGCTGGGTCTGTCACAGAGCCCCAGGGGCGGGTTCCTCTAGCCAGCAGGGGGCGCCCACTGAGCCCCACTAACTTCTATCCACACTGTCCTCCTCCCTGCAGTCTGGTCTGGGTGCCAGCCAGCCCTGCCCTGCCCACCTTTCCCAGCACCCCCTCACCTTCTGGTGCATGTTTAGGCGCCTCCCGATTATGCTGGAATTGTTGACAATGTTGTAGTGGGAGAGGGTGGCCCCCTTGGGGCTGCCTGTGGTGCCCTGGCAAAACAAGCAGATGTCAGCCTAGCCTCCCTCTCCTTCTCCTTGTCTACACATCCCCTTCCCACCATGGGCCACTGTGCAGAAGAGCACTGGGCCAAGAGGCTTCTGGACCCCAATCCATCCCTTGTTTAGTTTATGAAAGGTCTACCAGGCACTGTGCCAGGTGCTAGACATCTGTAAACAAATATCCTCATGCCACTCATAAGGTGTCTCCGAGGACGGTGCCACCCACCAACTGTATGGCCTCGGGTCTGGGCCTTAGTTTCTCATCTGTTCCCTGAGAGAGGAGGCTCTACCAGTTCTGACTCATGGGGGTTCAGTGAATTTTCCCCTGCCCTTGAGAACTGAGGTTGGGAGATGCATCACGAAGACACCAATTGCTGAGGTTTCCCAGGGCAGAGAGGACAGCCAGGAGAGGTCACCAAGGCCTTGGTTTTGGGCCAGCCTCAATAGAGTATCAGCTCTCCTGATATCTGCTAGCTGCCCATTCCCGGAGAAGGATCATGAGGCCGGAGGTTTGTTCGTATGTAGCCTGGGCTTAGGGCCTAGCGGCCTCTGCCCTACCGAGGTGAACTGGATGTTGATGGGGTCATGGCAGGACAGGAACTGCTGGGCAAAACGGAGCCGGGCCATGTGCTGCTCTGAGCCGCCTGCTTCTATCACGTCTTTCAGGAGCAACATGCCGGGCAGCGGCTCATCCACGGAGATAAGTGTGGTTAGGTCGGGGATCCTGGGGTGGGAAGGGTGAGAGAGTTGGGGTGAGCCAAGAGTGAGGCAGTCAGGGGTGCTGCACACGGACCCTTCTCTCATCCCCACCTCTGACTCTTCAAGGCCCCTGGCTGGGCCTTCTCCACTTCTGGACAGATCTGCTTCAGAATGTTGTAGTAATTCTGGGTCTTGAACTGCTTGGGGAACACGAGGGCTTTACAGCCCACCTATAGAAGAGAGTCACTTTGCTGGGTCAGCAGGAAGCCCGGGGCTGGGGTCCAGAGGGTCTCTAGACAATCAGTCCTTCTCTCTCACATGCACCACCATCCAGACACACATGTGCACCCCTCCAATACATACATATCCCATCCACACACACAGACACCCACAGACACTAGCTCACATATACCACCTCCAACACATTCACATGCACTATATTCCAAGACAAATGTACACATGCCTCTCCCCGAGACACATACCCATCATGCACCAGGAAACAGACACAACCCCAACACACAGACACAACCACCCCAGCACAACAGCCCGTGTCTGGCTGAGCACTGTCTCTGCGGAGTTGAGACCTCCTCCCACCCATGCAGCCCTAGGAAGGGCAGATGCCAAGTGTTGCCACTTTTGCACGCCCTGTCTCACCCCATCCCTGCTCTCTGTGCCAGGCACCAGCCAGGCCTACCTTCCTGAGGGCATACTCCAGCTCCATTGCCTGGTAGGCAGGGTTCACAGACACCTGTTGGGTGCAGCAGAGGCATCCTGTCAGTATACTGCTGCCCTGTCCCTCAAGCTGCTCCTGCACCCCGGGGGCACCTGCACCCACCCTCGGGTCCTCTTAAGGGACCCCAGGAGAAAGTCCGACCTGCTTTGATACTACTAGTCAGACCTTGGTTTGGCTCTGGAGCCAAAGGGTGTCCCCTCCACATACCCAGCTGTGCCAGGCCAGCCGCTCCTCACCAGAATGATGCCCGCCTGGGCAGTGGCCAGCTGGATGAGCACCCATGCGTATGAGTTAGGGCCCCACATGCCCAGCCGGTCGCCCTTGCAGAGGCCAATGCTTAGGAGTCCCGAAGCAGTTTTGTCCACCTGGTGTGAAGAGACAAAGCACAGACGTGAGATGGGCCCAGAGGTTCACCAGGCACAACAGAACCATCTGTGAGTAAAGAGACAGGAAGACCCCAGGCCACCAGGGGTCTTCAGTGGAGCCTAGGAATATGCATAATTAACATGTGTCCTAGGAGGTCTTGGTGTAGGAGGCATTGGGGCCTCCTCTGCCTGAGCTCTGTCCCCTTCTTCTGCCATGCCTTGGGGTTCTCGGGCTACTCCAACACATTGCCCTGTAGCCAGGTGTACGTCTTGTTCCGTGCCGTGCCACCTTTGCTCAGACAGAGCAGGTTGGGGACTAGCTCAGCCACTGAGGATTTAAAATCAGGACCTACCTCCTCCTTGAGCTGGGCAAAGGTTAACCTGAGGTTTTCCTGCATGACAACCAAGGCTTCTCGGTCTGGAAACCTCTGGGTTGTGGAGTCCAGGCATTGCCCCACGGTCTTGTGGCTAAGACGCATTCCGGTGTGACCCTGAACAAAGCTGAGGCCTCCGACGGGCAAGGGAACAGTGAGAGATGTGTCTTCTGTACTGTGGAGAAAGAGAAACATCCTTGACTGCACTGATCCAGTCCTCCCTGGGACCAAAGATCTACTTACAACGCTTTGGGGAGGGCACTGCATCTTCTCCATACCTTCTTGTAAGACAAGGACACCCTTGGACTGACCCTTTCTGCAACCTCAAGCCTAAGCAGCAGGGCAGGGACAATGTCGTCACAAGCTGAGGGCAAGGCGCCCTCCCTCACTTGTCTAAGAAAATGCTCCTGGGAAACCCAGGAGAACCTACCCACATGGATAGACAGGGTCGTCCAGATTGTGACCCATCCCCACCTCCTGCTCATTGGCACCCTTGCTTGGAATGCACTGAAATTCAAGGCCTTGGGTTCCAAGGCTATTCAGATGGCTGCTTTTTCCTCCTCTGAGCTTAAAAGTCAAAACAGAATCAGAGAAGCATTGGGGTGGAGGGGCAGATAGATACCCTACATTTTCACAGGCTCTCCACATGCCAAGCTGGACACCTATGGATTAGAAGTACTTCTCTGCCTTTACGTCTTCAAATGACCTTGGGACTTGGGGCTCCTGCTCTCGGATGATGCTATAGAAAAGTGGATGGTCCAAAGCCTGGTTAGACAGGGAAGCAGATATAAGATATGCCAGGGACACCCAGACACTCTCAAGTTCAAGGTTTCCTGATGCTGCTCAACGTTTCTTGATGAGGCGCCCCCGTACAGGGGCTCCTCGGCTTATCCCTGGGGCTGCCTCCACCTTTCTCGGGACATGGGCAGGTGCAAGGGCCTGGGTAGCCCAGAAGCCACAATCTGCTCTCTGTCTTTCAGAAATCTCAGATCTCCTTTTAGTCCCATCAGATTAAGAGTGACTTCTCAGAAGGGTGTCAAGCCAGATCTGAGTCTTCTAATTCTTGCTCCAGCGGGCTCTTCTGCACCGCTTAGCAACAGGGAGTCTGGGAAAGTCACCACGTCTTAGGAAAAATGGAGATAAAATAGGTCCTTTTGACACAGGTGACATGCAACTCAATCAAGAACAAGCCTATAAAGGCCACTGTTTTAGTTACCTAATGCTACTCCAGTGGAGACACAAGCAGAATGCATTCTCCTACAATTTAAGAGGCTAGAAATCCAAGGTCAAGTACAAGTTCTAAGCGAAGGCCCTCTGTCAGCTATGGAGGAAAGTGTTTCCTTTAGCTTCTATAGGCTGTTGAGATCACCAAGGGTCCTGGCCTTCCCCAGTGTCACGGAGTTTCATTGTTCAGGGACCTGGGTCCAAAAAGACAAATTCTGCTGTTGGCAGCTATTGCTTGGTGGTGCTGAGGATTCCCCCCCCCCCATTTTTTTTACTTCTCCATTTTGTCATCTCTATTGAGTTACCAGGCATCATAGGTCACACCTTAGGGGAAAAGTAAAACAAACAAACAAAAAACAAAAAAAAACACAAACCTTCAAACTCATTGCCATCAAGCGTGGACTGACTCACAGTGGACAGGTTTTCAGAGGTTGTGAATCACTCGGGAAAAGCCAGCTCATCTTTCCCTTGGAGCAGGTGGTGGATCCCACCCATCTGTCTTTGAGCTGGCACTGTACCTCCTTCCCTGCTGGCTTCCAATGGGATTAGGGAGTGTTTCGTTGCACCCTTAATCCTCTTGCAAATACTCAATCTAACAGGCCATGGGGCAGTCATTACACAACCTGCATTTGGTATAAGTATATTTTGAGTGGCACCCAGTTTAACCCATGGCAGGCACTTTGGAAGAGGTGAAGTACTACATAAACTGACAGTCATTTACCACCCCCTTCATGCCTTCACTGATCATTCAGTCACAAGACACACACTCCTGAGTGCCCATATGTGCCGGGGACTTGCTAGCAATTAAAAGTGAGTAAGTCATGGTGCATGGCTTACAGAGCTTCTTGTCTAGAGGGAATTCGATATTTATTAGCTTCTTCCAGGCAGAACTGTTGTTGGGTATGGTAAGTCAGCATAGACTCATTGTTTTTGTTATGTGGCATCAGGATTGGAGGAAGACTCATTAACAAACTGCATTATGCAGATGACACATCTAGCTTGCTGAAACTGAGGAGGACAAGAGACATTTGCTGCAGAAGGTCAAGGACTACAGCCTTCAGTATGGCTTGAAGCTAAAAAAATGATTCTCACCACCGGGCCAATTGGCAGCATCATGAGAGATGGTGAAGAGATGATGAAGGAGGAGAAGAAGAAGGAGGTGGAGGAGAGTGGTAAATGACTGTCAGTTTATGCAGTACTTCACCTCTTCCAAAGTATCTGTCATGGCTTAAATTGGGTGCCACTCAAAATATACATGTAATTGTTAACAATTGAGATTGTTAACAGTTTCAGCTTGTTTGGCTTCACAATCAATCCTCTTGGTACCAGCAGCCAGGAAATCAAAAGACTAATGGCATTGGGAAAATCTGCTGTCAAGGACCTCGCCAGAGACTGAAGAGCAACAATGTCAGTCTGGAGACTAAGGTGCACTTAATCCAGGCCATTGTCTTTGCAATAACTTGTCATGCATCAGATAACTGGACAATGACTAAGGATGATAGAATAAGAATTGATGCCTTTTAGTTGTGGTGCTGGAGAAGAGTATTGAAGATACCATAGACTGCTAAAAGAACAAACAGATTCAGCCTGAGCAGGGTGAAACCAGGCTGCTCCTTGGAGGTAAGGATTTGAAAGCTTCATCTGACATACTTTGGGCATGTTCCGAGGAGGAACCAGTCCTTGGAGAGGGACATCATGCTTGGAAGAATGGAGAGACAGTATAGGAGAGGAAGACACTGGATGAGATGGATTGACTCAGTGACTGGAATGAGGTGTGTCAGAGACAATGAGGTTGGCTCAGGATATAACAAGGTTTAAAACTGTTGTACTTATTAAGGTCACTTGAACTGCAAACAACTTAAAAGCATGTAACAACAACATGCCATAGGGTCAACAATGACCCATAGCACATCCAAAAACTTCTCCAGTAGGGTAAAAAGGGAAGCCACTGACTGGGAAAAAGTATTCGGTAATAACATATCAGATAAGGGACTTATATCC